TATTTTCATCCTTGTTCGGTACTTGACTCATTGTCTATGTAATGCATCGCGCGATAAGCATTCATTCTATTAGCTTCTTATTCTAAGTTTTTTTGAGACTTCTTTAATTTAACAACATTGATGGTGCTATAGGAAGAAGGCCTCACGTTTTCCAAGTTTCCGGTTGTGGACTTTCCCTGTCATTGTGGATGGACCTTTTGGGGTCGTTTCTGCTGCTGAGTTTATCGGGATTCTTCTGTTTGGTGTGTATGTCATCTGGGCTGTCTATGCTTATACCTTGCAGACTCTCCACTACGTCTCTAACTATTCAAGCTTTAAAGAGCAAAGGTACATACATGATTCTATGTTCTTCATGATTCTTCTCTCTTGACTGAAACTGATTGCCTTTCATTTTTTTTTTTTTCACGAGATATGGCCTTGTTTGGAATTGATCACGTTTTTATTTTTCACATTTATCGAGAAAAAAATGAAAACGTTTTTAAAACGGCGTTTGGCGTAATAAAGACAAAAAAACAGAAATGAAATGTTTTTTTGATTTAATGTAAAATGAGAGTGAAATGAAAAACGACTTTTAGTCGTTTTTCATTTTTTGTTTTCGTTTTCACCTCTCTCGAGCAGAGATAAAGAAAGAGAGACATTAATGGATTTTTTTACACTGAAAATAATCTCTTGATAAAACTACCATATCTGATATTAAAAACGTTTTCATTTTCATATAAAAAATAAAATCATTTTGAAACGTGTTCCAAACGCATCCATTAGTTTGTCTATTTAGTAGGCTCTCCCATTTCTGAATTTTCATATTCTAATGTTGTTACTTATCATGTATAGAGTTTTTCTTGCTTCATTCAAGGTTCTGTTCCTCGTTTTTGTATTTTACTTGAATAAGAAACGTCTTTGTTTGCTAAAGTACACGTTTGCTTTTGTTTCATCTGTCTTATTCTTATGTTCCAACTTACCAATTGAGAGCCTGTATAAAGGCAGTAAATATGTGATCTCTAAATATATAGAGTTTGGAAGATAGAAGTTGTTTTTGCGCTGTTTTATTGGTGGAATGGTGGTAATTGAATAGATTTCTCTTAATTTGAGTACTCGGCTTTTGTCAGTTACATCTTCTTGGCAATTATGGGACTTCGGTTTGGTTCAGTTGGGATATTTTGCTTGGCATTTCTGTTCCTTCCAGTTGCAAGGGGATCGGTTCTTCTCCGCCATGTTGATATCCCTTTTGAACATGCTACAAGATATCATGTGTGGCTGGGACATCTCACCATGGTGTTATTTACTATCCACGGGCTACTATATGTAATCGCGTGGGCAATTGAAGGTCGCCTCTTAGAAAAGGTGAGTGGAATGCTACATTTTGTTTGCCCATGCGTTTGGTTGGTGTATTCGTGTCATGATTTGAATCATGGTTCGTGGTTCGCTACAGTATTTTCTCTCAAAAAAACACACGTAAATCGAGAATGATTATGAATCCATAAACCAAACGTCCACTTACATATTTGTAGTTGGCTTTAAATAAAGGCCTATGAATATGTTTGTGTATGTGTCTTGCCTGTGTGCATTTTCTTGTCTGTGTCAATATTTTGAAAGAGATAGAGCACCATTTGATGGTGTTGAGTGGTCTGTGATGGATGGGCCTAAATTCTGAACTTGCTCTTTGTATATACAAATTGGAATTCTAGAATAATGCTCTTTATATTTTAAAAGAGATGTAAATCGCCTAATTATTTTTATGGCAAGGTTGCAGTCCTTGAGCGTTTTTCTACAAACTTCTTACTAAATATATAGTTTTTTTTTTTTTAAATCTTCTAGGGCAAGCAATTAGAATATGTTCAGAAATGCACCGAACTGCATGTGGCTAAAAACGGCAGACCGAATATTCAGTGTTCAATTCATGATGATCATGTTGCTATTTTTGACTTTACCTTTTAATTATATCATATAATGCCCAAGCAAGTCTAGTTATTCCATTATGATTAATATATGTGTCTAATGCTAGCATTCCTCTATGATTTGTCTGGATTTGATATAAATGAGGTTATTGTGGATGACTCAAGTCACAGCATTGTACCAGGAAAGAGATACAGGAAACTGAAAAACAAATAATTCCTGTAACTCTGTATTTTCTCTATAAACTTTAACCCTTCCTTTAGAGAGATAGTGGACATATGTTCTTTTTTTTTTCCCCTAAACTTCGTTAGTTGCTTGAAAACATTGGCTGTACAAGTTATTCATAGCTTCACTTATTTCATTCAGATAGTGGAGTGGAAAGATATTGGTGTAGCCAACCTTCCAGGAGTTATCAGTCTTATAGCCGGTTTGCTGATGTGGGTGACCTCACTCCCTCCAGTGAGAAAGCTGAATTTTGAGTTGTTCTTTTACACTCATCAGCTATACATTGTCTTCGTTTTCTTCTTGGCGTTGCACGTCGGCGATTTCATTTTCTGCTTTGCTGCTGGGGGAATATTTCTTTTCATGCTTGACCGCTTTTTGAGGTTCTGCCAATCGCGAAAAGTTGTGGAGATAATTTCAGCCAAGTGCCTCCCGTGCGGAACTGTGGAACTCGTCATTTCAAAACCTGCAAGTAAATATCCTCTTTTTTTTTCCATGAATGTAGGATTCCCTTCTCTATCTCGTTTTCAAAGTTCTCACTATTTTCCCTGATAATATCAGATCTGCGATACAATGCCCTCAGTTTTGTTTTTCTTCAAGTGCGGGAGTTATCATGGCTGCAGTGGCATCCTTTCAGTGTTTCATCTAGTCCTCTGGATGGCAAATATCACATGTCTCTTCTCATAAAGGTTCTCGGAGAATGGACAGCAAAGCTTCGAGACAATATCTTAAATGTTGCTGGGGAAACACCAGAAGAAGAGCTTCCTTTAAGGCCTCGCACTAAATTAACAGTTTCGGTTGAGGGGCCATATGGGCATGAGTCACCATACCACTTGATGTAAGCAGTATGCTCTTTGTATTAGAATGATTTATTTATAACAAATTTTAATTCTGGTTTGGAAGGTAGTTTTATTGAAGAGCTGACCTAACCATTTTTTCTTTTTCTCGGAATTAGGTATGAAAACCTTGTTTTAGTTGCAGGTGGAATCGGGATTTCACCATTCCTTGCTATCTTGAGTGACATTCTCCACCGTATCAGGGAAGGGAAACCTTGTCTTCCAAGAAATATATCGATTATTTGGGCAGTGAAAAAAACAACTGAGCTTCCTCTTCTGTCTACCGTTGATATGGAGTCAATTTGCCCGTTTTACACCGACAAGTTAAATCTTGAGACTCATGTTTATGTCACTCGGGAGTCGGAACCTCCACTGGTATGTTTACTCAAACTGATACAGATTCTAGCACCTTCCTTGAGTGGTTCTCTTTATCGTTTTCTTGACACTCTCATTTCATATTTTTTGTTTGGTTGTTGTTTGCAGGAAGAGGGTAATGTTCAAAGCGCTACGAACTGTCCTGCTTTCCCCGCGCCTAAAGGTTGTAGTATGTCTGGTTTGGTTGGTACAGGAGATAAGGTGTGGTCTGGATTATACATTATCTCATCTACATTAGGATTAATCATCTTGATGGCTTTGTTGGAAATCTTTTATATAAACCCTTATGGAATATCTAAATGGTGGTACAAAGGACTTCTTCTGATAGCTTGCATGACTGTAAGTATCCTTGTCTTTGGTGGTGCTGTGGTTGGTCTATGGCATCTGTGGGAAACAAGAGTTTCAGAAAGGGAAGGATATGATGATACGATTGAGGTTGATACGACAAAATATAATGAAACTTTAACTCGGAAGGATTCTCTTGGGGTTCCTACAAATTCAACTCATATCAAGTATGGCACAAGACCTGACTTCAGTGGTATGTTTCCTTGCCATACCTTTTTTTTTTTTTAATCTTTTATGGAATATATAGGCAATCTTGGCATATCTGCACATAAGCCCAAATACATTGGAAATATAGAGAGACGTATATGTATCAAGTTTAGTGTACACACACAAACACACACGCACACAAGTGTGCGCGCGCGCGCAGTTGGGTTGTTTTTATCTGTTGAAGACTCTCAATGGTGCTTGTCCTTTGTTGAATTTCTCTGGCTTATTTGAACGCCAAATATTGACTACTGAAATAAGAAAGAACAGTTTCATCTTGGTGGAAACTTCTGTTCGAAATGGCTGTTAAACAATTTTGCACCAATTTATACTTGCAGTCATGTCTCTCGGTCGACCAACTAACCGTCTGGATGCATCTGCAGCATGGTTCTTTCCTCTTTGACGTTTTCAATTTTTTGCTGCAAATACTTTCACCTGTTGTAATGTACATAGAGTTGTGTAAATAGTTGAACTTCTAAGAATGGTTGCAAGGAGTTCGATATTAGGATTCTTCGAAGTTCTTAGTCTCTGAAATATATCTGAACTAAAATTTGAAACGTTCAACTATAAACTCAAGATATCGAGGTTTAAGTTGTTCCTCCTGTTGACATGTCTTTTCACGTTTATGCCGTGTTCTTCTGCAGAAACGTTTGCATACCTATCAAAGCGTTGGGGCTGTGTCGATGCCGGCGTTATTGTATGCGGTCCTCCAACTCTGCAGGCAAGCGTTGCTAAAGAAATTAGGTCACACAATATGAGGAGAGAAAGAGAACATCCAATCTTCCACTTCAATAGTCATAGTTTTGATCTGTAGCTGCAACTTGACTACGCCTCTTTAGCAAATTCCCTTGAGACGTAACTAAAAAAGGTCCAGCTGATGACATTAAAGTTTGTATGAATGCAAATATGTGTACATTTGTATCTATGAATGCATAATGATATCAACCTATGCATTATACAGATGTTATATATATATATATATATATATTTGTGAATAGGGTTATATATATAAGGGCATGTATATATCATGTATGAACAATACTTTTCATGTTTATGATATTTCAATTAGCAGCTTTAGTTATTTCATGTTATTTCATTTTGAGCAAGAAACGAATTGTATTGGATGACAAACGAAAAAATTACAAGGAGAGGAAAAGCTCTCCACAGCTGACAGAAGAAACAAAAACAAAAAGGAGATGGACTATAAAAAGAAGCCCCAACTCCTAATTAAATCCGATAAACTAGGATTGCCATAACTCCTTGTATTGGTATATACCCACAAAGAGACCCAATATTTTCATTGTCCAACAAAACAAAACTATGCTTCCTTTCTAGTCGATACCCTCAATGCATGTTTATTTGACAGTATTAAAACACCGTATTATATGACAATATATTAGTGCAATATTTTGTGTAATCATTATATTGTTTAAGCTATGATTCGCCCCTATTTTCATAAATTCAAACTACTATTTTTGTTATAGTTTGAATTTATGAAAATAGGGGCGAATCATAAATTCAAGTAATCTCAATTGTATAAAAAGAAAATATCGGTCGTGTTTGAAATTGATCACATTTTTATTTTTCACATTTTTTGAGAAAGAATATGTTATTTCATTTTGAGCAAGAAACGAATTGTATTGGATGACAAACGAAAAAATTACAAGGAGAGGAAAAACTCTCCACAGCTGACAGAAGAAACAAAAACAAAAAGGAGATGGACTATAAAAAGAAGCCCCAAACTCCTAATTAAATCCGATAAACTAGGATTGCCATAACTCCTTGTATTGGTATATACCCACAAAGAGACCCAATATTTCATTGTCCAACAAAACAAAACTGTGCTTCCTTTCTAGTCGATACCCTCAATGCATGTTTATTTGACAGTATTAAAACACCGTATGACAATATTTTGTGTGATCATTATATTGTTTAAACTATGATTCGCCCCTATTTTCATAAATTCAAACTACTATTTTTGTTATAGTTTGAATTTATGAAAATAGGGGCAAATCATAAATTCAAGTAATCTCAATTGTATAAAAAGAAAATATCGGCCGTGTTTGAAATTGATCACATTTTTATTTTTCACATTTTTTGAGAAAGAAAATATGAAAACGTTTTTAAAACAGCGTTTTGCGCAATAAAGACAAAAAATGAAATTGAAAATGATTTTTTTCTTTAACGTAAAATGAGAGAAAAATAAAAAACAACTTTTAATTGTTTTTCATTTTTTATTTTTGTTTTCTCCTCTCTCTAGTAGAGAAAAAGAAAGACATTAATGAGTTTTTTTATACTTAAAATAATCTCTAAATAAAATTACTAAATACATTTTTAAAAATAATTTATGTCTAAAATTAAAAATATTTTTATTTTTATTTTTATATAAAAAATAAAATTATTTTAAAACAAATTTCAAACGCTACCATCATTTTTAATACCCGTATTTTATCAAAATATATTTTTAATACCTTAGAACTTTCCTTCACATTCGCTTTCTTCTCACATCTTCTTTACTTTCACAATGTCTGAATTGTCCCTTTAGCTTTCCATCGCCAGATTGCCACCTATTAAGAAAAGTATGGCTTTTCCTTCTTTTCTTTTTTTTTTTTTTTTTTTTTTTTGGGGGGGGTTTTTTTTTTTTTTTTGGTGGAGTGGGTGAGGGGGTGTGGTGGGAGGGGAGTCAACAATCAATTAACATTTATTGGAAAGTGGAAATATATTGGAGAGAATTCAATAAGTGAGAGTGACGACTCTTTTCCTTTGAAAACAATAATAAATGACGACTAAATTTTGATGTGTACCTTTGCTAACAAAACTCACATATATAATAGGTGTCAAATTCTGTCTCTGAGCAAAATAGAGAAAAATATCATAGGGTTTCATATTATTTAAGGTGTGTTCGGCTGTCTAAAAAACTTAAAAAAGACGACTTAAGTTTTAACTTTATTTAAGTTTATGTTCTTTTAAGTTTGAATTCGAGTTTGGGACTAAAATTTGAGTTCAAATGTCCCATTCAACTCGAGTTCAGAAACTCAAACTCAAATTAATGAATAATATTTTTTTCTATTATTAAAAATGATATAACTTTTTCGTTTTAATCCTGATTGAGATAATTTTTTTTCTATGCGTTGACAACGAAAAGACGAATAAAACTCCACCCATGTATCGTATAAAAATTTTTCATCACCACTTTTATTAAAATGCTATCTAAATACAAATTTAAGTTTTAACTCACTCAAATATAAACTCAAAAAAAAGATTCTTATTTCAAACCATAACTCAAATGTACACAACCACACCCGTTCACTTCGCTGATTCGAGTTTAGAATTCGAGTTTTTCTACAGTAAAAAGCTCTCACAAACAATCACATCTAACTTTTTTGCTACAGTAAAAAGCTCTCACATAAAATCACATCTCAACTCGAATTCTAAACTCGAATCAGCGAAGTGAACGGGGTTGTTACTTCAACTCAAGTTATAACTTAAATTCAACTCAAAAATTATACTCAAGTCACACTCCAAAAGAACATGCCCTTAATTGCTTAAATGAAATACATTAGAAAATAAAGTTTATATAGACTTGCACAATAAATGAAAAGACCATTCTACCCTTACTAAAATCTTTATTACTCAAGTATGTTCAATAATCTATACATATACACTGTTAACGGTGAAACTTCGTCAACAAAAATACGCCGGACTACCCTTTGATATCCTGTGGGTTACCGGCTAGAAATTAGTTATATATTTGAAACTATGCTAAGAGGTGTTTGTTATGTTTTGGGAGCATAAAAAACAACACTTGAATGGGAGGACACACGAGGTTTATAGTGATTCACTCTGTTAATCAAGAACTACATCCACTTGTGTATGGTTTATTTATCTTGGGCTCTTTACAAATTACATGCACGTATCATCTCTCTTCCCATCCCCTTTTTTTTTAGAAAAAAACCCCCCTTTTATAGCCCAAGCTTCCTTCGTGGGAGGTTTTTCCTTTGTAGGTGGAAGTACTCGAGTGGCCTACTTTCTAGGCTAAGACCGTAGCCTACTAATCACTTTTGGACTGTTCACTCAGCCATTAGGTCTTCCATTATGGCTCTGTGAATCCCTGTAATATCTCGCTACCCACTGTAAGGCGGTTTAAGGGTTTGTAATTAATGCCCGAATTACAGACGTGTCCCAATTCTGGACGCAACTTATGATGTCAGGCACCTTCCTCTCGGCGTCTGTATCGCGCGGATCTTATGCCCTTCCTAATCTTTCCAAGGCATAAGTTCGACGTCACAACGGGGCCTTTCTGCTGCGTTGAGGGTAGTAGAACTCTTGGCGTCGAGGATGATTGATGTCTTCGCGTCGAGGGTGGCCACCTTTGGAGGGGAGGTAGGGTCACGTGTCATGTTGTCGACGTTCCACCTGTCACCCACATTTTCTCACACAACATACACTATTCATCTAAAAATAGTAAGAGTTATTTTTATTAACATTTTTCAGGGTTTTAGTGTAAGGACCCGTTGAGTTCGCTGATTCGAGTTTTTAATTTGAATTGAGTGTGACTTTATGTGAGAACTTTTTATTGTAGCAAAAAAGTTAAATGTGTCTGTTTCTTAGAACTTTTTATTGTAACAAAATTCAAATTCTAAACTCGAATCAGTAAAATGAACGGAGTCTAAGGTCTTGTTCATTTAACCGATTCGAGTTTATAATTAAAGTTTTGCTACGGTAAAAAGCTTTCATAAATAATTATATCTAATTTTTTTTATTATAATAAAAAACTCTCACATAAAATCACATCTCAACTTAAATTAAAAATTTGAATCAGCGAATTAAACAAACCATAATTTTTTTTGAATTAAAATTTGGCTCATCATTGCATTGCATGAGGGAGGAGATTGTTTGCGTTTTTTTTTTTCATTTTTCTTTCACCAAAAATCCAAATTTGCCGTATTTTAAAAGAAGGTTATTATTTTACAAATAAAAGTTTTGAATTGTCAGTACGTGAATAAAGCTTTTTTTATTAGATTAGAGCTCGTCAGAACAAGCACATGTCACTGACACATTTGATGAAATTCTTACAAATATCTGTGACATTTGATTATTTGTGGCCACAAGCTCTCGCTAATACTCCAGTGGCCTAAAACCTGCCAGACAAGCGAACACCATTGAAGAGAAGACCCCACAACTGCTTCGTTGGTTTCATCAAATCCCTTCTTTTGATTTCTAAAAGATCATCCGAATCCTTCCTTATCTTCCACTCCCTCTCCTTCTTCAACTCTCCACCAACCACTTTCCCGTTTCCTTTCGTTTCCTTTCCTTTCTTCTCCACTCCTTCCTATTCCGAGAAAATTTGCTCGTCGTCTTTCGTGAGATATTCCCGGAAAGGAAAGAAAAGGGCATTTTGTGTTTGCCAATATCTTATCCACAGGAAAAATCTTCTTTTCTCTCTGAATCTGCATATGGGTAATGGGTATGTTTCATTTTTCTGAGTCTATCAAGAATCTGGGAAGAAATTAGTGAGCTTATAGCTGACTTTAGAAGGAAAGTGAGAGAGAGAGAGAGAGAGAGGAATACTTTTGAGGAAGATGAAGATTCAGTGCGACGTTTGCGAGAAAGCTCCGGCGACTGTGATTTGTTGCGCCGACGAGGCGGCTTTATGCGCCAAGTGCGACGTCGAAGTTCACGCCGCGAACAAGCTCGCCAGCAAGCACCAGAGGCTTCTCCTTCAGAGCCTTTCCAGCAAGCTCCCTAAATGCGACATTTGCCAAGTAATTTATTTCTTTCCGTTCCCTTGCCTTTTTCTCTGTGGATTTTCGGTCGGATTTTTCCGTTATTTACATTTATTTTGTATATTGCTAGCAATCTTTGAATCTCTGGTTGTGGTGTATTTGATACAGACTTAAATGATGGCCAAGAAAAATAATGCGTTTTGGGTAGTTTGGAGGACGATTGGTTGATGGATTTTATTTACGTGTGTTTTTGTTTGAGAGAAAATACTATAACGAGTCACGAATCATGATTCGAATTATGTCATAAATTCTTAAACTAAACGCACTCTTATATGGTTTAGCAAGAAAATATTTAACTAGATTTAAGATTATTTGAAGACTTCTTTCTCTTCTTTTTTTTTTTTTTTTTAAGAAAAGTTTATGTCATAATTGTGGCTTATATGTGAGTAAGGCAGGTATATGAATTTATGTATGCACATATATTTATACGAAAGATATTGCGAGTACTTGGACGATTCTCAAGACTTTATGCATCTTTTTTACCTTTAGGCGATGCAAAATACTGGCTGAGAATATATGTATACTGGAGCTATAAGACTATACAACAAGATCCTTGGGCATCTAAATTTTGAAGGACCTCATTCTAGAATTATAATTGTTCTTTTCATTGGAAATACTTTCTTCATTATAAGTAGGTTTTTTTGAATTGGAATTTTACCGAACCATTGACACAATTGGCGTGCTTTGGTAACTGAATTCTAGAATCATGATTCAAAATCAGTATTTGGTTTGGATGATTCAAAATCTAATGTGATATTTTAAACTAGCTCAAATCATTATTCTAAAATCACCCCCTCTCTTGATTCAAGGTGATTTAAACTCCTGATTCTGAATCATGGTTTCAGAATCATGATTTAAACTCAAAATCATGAATCATGATTTTGGTTTCAGAATCATGATTAGAATCACCATGGTTTAAATCCTCGTACTAAATAAACCCTAAGTGATTCATGATTACTAATTGTGCTATTTTCTGACTGAGTGGTTGTTATGCTCGAGTATCCGCACAAGGTTGATAACTACGTTAGGTGTATGTGTATCTTCCAAAACCAGTGTTCTATCAGTAGATGGTTGCAACCAGATTTTCTCAGTCCAATAAAGAAAGGAAATTGATAAGAGTCCCAAGTTATTTACCAAAGTTTTTGTATTGGTGTGGAAAACAAGGTGTTACTTTTCAATTTGTAAATAGAAATATACTTACCACACCACTTGGTGCAAAAAATTTGGTAAATACCCTGGGATCTATATCACTGTCCATAAAAGAATACTATGGGCGCGTTTGGAATTCGTTTCAAAATGATTTTGTTTTTTGTATGAAAATGAAAATGAAAACGTTTTCAATCTCAGACAAAAATCATTTTTGAAAATCCGTTTGGTAGTTTTATCAAGAGATTGTTTTTCAGTGTAAAAAAATCTATTAATGTCTCTCTTTCTCTCTCTGCTCGAGAGATGAGAAAATGAAAACAAAAAATGAAAAATGTCTAAAACTCGTTTTTTATTTCTCTCTCATTTTACACTAAACAAAAAAATCGTTTTCATTTCCGTTTTTTATTTTTATTACGCTAAAGGACGTTTTAGAAATGTTTTTATTTTTTTTCTTGAAAAACGTAAAAAAAAAAAAACGAAATCAATTCCAAACACAGCCATATGTTGGCATTATTTTCTAGTAAAAATTGTCATAGAAGAAGACAGTGTCTATTGCCAAAAAGTGAGATAACGTGAGATTGGGGTGGGTTGAGGGTTGGGGGGATTTGCGGTTCAATGAGTTGCCGGAATACTGTTTTGTGAAAACCATTGTCAATTTTTTATCATTCGTTTATATGAAAGTAATCAGAAATCTGTAACTCGGTTGTTATCACATCACTTGTTTCTTGGTTGTAATTCTACAATTTGACTTGTGGGTTTTATCCGCAAGAAGAATTGGGAATAACTAAAAGTTAAATGATGCTCAGAATCAGGTAAAGGGAAGGCAACATGATTATCATATAATAATAGTTTTGTTGAAACTACGAGAGAATATTTGAAGTCTTTTTTGGTGAATAAGAAATCTGCCCTTTATGTTTTACATCCTAGTTTAGGCTGCATAATTTCTCAGCAAAACTTTTAGGGTAAGAAAAAAAGTTGTTCCTTAAACAAATGCTCTATCCTTTTTAAGGAACTAATGTTTTGTTACCGATTCAACAGGATAAGCCAGCTTTCATTTTCTGTGTGGAAGACAGAGCGCTTTTTTGTCAGGAGTGTGATGAACCAATTCATGCAGCCAATAGTCTGTCTGCAAACCACCAGCGTCTCTTGGCTACTGGAATCCGCGTCGCCTTGAGTGGCAGTTGTAATAAGGACACCAAGAAGAGCTCCTTGGAGCCACCAAATCGAAACCCACAACAGGTCTCAACAAAAACTCCTGCACAACAGGTTTCTGGCCCCACACCATCTTGGTCTGTTGATGATTTGCTACACTTTTCAGATTTTGAATCTTCTGACAAGGTAAAAAATGTCCCACGGTTTTTTATTTAACTTCATGAAAGTATTCATGCATATTTCTCTGGCATTGAGTAAACGGATAATAAATAAAAATGCGGTAAGTGATTGTATTGCATAGAAAAGCATTCGTTTAGACCACTCTTCTAGTAAAGAAGGAAACTATGAGCATAATAGTAATCTTTTACTACGGTATAACATCATCTCTGTAGTTAACTTGGGACAAAAACATGTTTAGGATTTAGGGACTCAGGCACATGAGACTCCTATTTCTCAAGCATTCATATTGTGGCTGGGAATGGCTCAGCAATAAGGTCTCAAAAACTTCGAGGGAATGTGCTTGATTATAATTCGATTAAATGTTTATGATGCCTTACATATTACCATAAATATCTGACAGATATATTTTAATTTAAGAAACGATCATGGTATGCATATGAAATAAAGCACATAAGGAATTAATATGGGAAACAGCTCTTTTGAAATTTAAAATGTGCTACTTTTTGACATTCTTGGTTTTGACTTATAATTCTGAGGAAAGTTCTAGCTGATGACACACTTTATCAGTATTGGCTTAGTCAGTTGAGGCATTGGCTGGGCTGTAGATGGTCTTTGATTCAAGTCTTTCTACAAAACAAACCTTTATTGATATCGCGGATTTTGTTGATTTTTATTTGATTTCCCTTTGAACCCTCCATTTTCTGATGAAACTTGGAATTATTACAGCAGAAGGAGCCATTTGAGTTTGGAGAGCTGGAATGGCTAGCGGACGTGGGTCTAATCGGCGAGCAAATAACTCAGGAAGCCTTGGCAGCCGCTGAAGTTCCTCAGCTTCCAGTGCCGCAGTCGAGCAATGTTCCCTCGTACAGAACTATCAAATCGAACACTCCCTACAAGAAGCCTAGAATTGAAATGCCGGTTGAAGATGACGAGTATTTCGTTGTTCCCGATCTTGGTTGAACTTAGACGTATATAGATTATGTGGTACAAATTGTAGGTACTCACGTAGGCATCTGAAACGTATCCATACCTAAGTACATGTATGTATTTATGCGTGTATGTGTTCAATAGTTAATAATGCATCCCGGGCGTATACTGGTCTTTTTCTCTCCCTCTCTTTCATATGTTCGTCTTGTCCACTCCTAGAACACCATTGCTAATGTTGGTTAGTATGGTAATAGGATTGATATAAGACAAATATGTTTCTGCAATTCTGTGTGTGACTCGGGTGATAGATGTTTTTGTGCCACAGGATTGTTAATCTGCCAGCGTTTAGGTTGGTATTGTTTACACATGCTTTTCACGGTATCTGTAACAACATATATATATATATATATATATATATAAAAATAGTATTGGAAACAGATGTACAACAATCCAGCTCTTTCCTATTCAAATTTTGGCATTTCCCTTAATTAGATTCAGTTTCCTGTTCATTATGAAAGTTGAAGCATAAGTGAAATTTTAAAAGCTAGCAAAATCCACTTTTTCAAAGTAACTTTAAAAACTACAATAGTTATTGTGCATAGTTTTTTTTTTTTTTTTTTTTTTTTTTTTTTTTTTTTTTTCACTTTTTAT